AGAGAAAGTACAAGAATGTGGAAAAAATTAGGGATAATACATTCATAAAAGCAAAGACTGAAAGGATAACCCGACTAAAAACAAATAAGACCGCGTCATTTTTCTCTTTTGTCCAAAAAATTGAACCAAACACGACCAAATATGATCATCATACTCGGATATCAAAAGCGTAAAGAAGCAGTCAAAAACTAGCTTCGAAGGCTTTTACTGAGTTTGAGGGCTTTTACTTGGGCTTTTGGTGCAAAAAGCTATTTGAACAAAAACTACAATATTTGGGGGTTCCAAAGCATAAAAGCGCAGGCTTTTAGGCTTTAAAACTAGCTTTTGACTACATTGTCTGCTCATTTTGTTTTTCTTCAAGAACCCAATATGCAGATGCCGAAACCAAGTAATTCTTATCTTCTTCCGCAATAAAAAAACCAATAAAAAATGTCAAAACAACCAAACAAAGCGCGACGCCAACGGGCGGGTAAAAAACTAGTAAGAAAGACAAAGAAAAAAAATCAAGAGAGAGAGAGAGGAGTCTACCTCTAGAGTAAAAACTAATAGGATAATTTGTATCGACAATAATATTGCCGCGATTCTCAAGGAGGTGACAACAAGATGATGGGGTAGGATGGCGAGCAATGGAGGAGATGCAAGTATTTTCTGTTCGTAGCAAGTATACTGAATAATATATTTTTTTTCTACAATTTCGAGAGTTAGAATCATTGGTTCGTTTAGAGTTTCAAAATACAAACTCTAAAACCGAACTCCTAAACTTTGCAATCGTCTTTTTACTTATCACTGATCTACTACTAAGGAAACTAAGCAAGTTCTCATCCAAGAACACAAGCATTCATCGTCAAATCGGAACACTGATATTATCTTCGGAACTCCAAAGTGAACAGACATTTCAAAGCTTAAAACACAAACACAGGGATGAAAAGAAACCTCCAAATTTTAACAAAAAATTATGTTTGCATACATTTTGTATCATAATTTTCAGGTTCATGTATTAAAGATATTAAATCTCTCATAAAATGTACAGATTTTCCATCTTAATTTGTGTTAGACAAATTTCCAACTCTATTTCTTTCTTTGTTTTATTTATCCCACCAAAAATGTTTACAAGATTTTTCTTTTTCTTGGAATTCTTAGAACACTTTTTAAGCTCTATTTTCAAGACAAGTCAAAATGACAATCTTTCCCAAAAACAATTCTCTCCTCTTTATGCCTTTGCATGTACTTTTCACAAGATGTATATCTTAGACCTCTCTGCTCTACCAATAATCAACTTGATCTATACAATTTTTATTTTATTAACTGAAAAATTTAATTTTATGCATGCTTTTCTCGATGATAAACATGTTATTTGATACAAATTAGAATTTTTTTATTTTCCATTAAACGTCATCAACCATTGTTACCAAATCTATTTTCAATAATATGGAGAGTTAGAATTTATGGATCGTTTTATAAATTCGATATCCAGTTATCCAAATGATTATGAACATTTACACCTAGGGATGAGCAACCGTCCGATCCAGTCTGGAACCAGATCAAACCATGATAAAGCCCATAGTAAAGGAAGTTTGAGGATTAGAACTAAAACAAAAGTGCACTCGATTCATATATCAGTTCAATGAGTTCATTTTCTCTTTTATATCCCACAAATTCATAAAAACATATGGATCGAACGACATTATATTTGGACCTGATTTTATCAAATACCAAATGGAGCACACACCCGATCTATGGTCGTTTACTTTTTCTCTCCAAAAAAAATATTTATGAGTAAAATTTTGCGAAGATAATCCCAAATGTATCTTTTTGTAATGATTTATGAGTTTTTTTATTACTTTTTTAGTAATGTAATTTGGTAGTATTCTGGTGTTATTTCTTTTTGGTGGAAATTCCATTGTTATTTCAATAGTATCTTGGAGCTTCTCAGTAATTTTTAAGGGTAGAATATGATATTAAGACTTTATATAAAAGCTAAGTCGGAAGTCGAGAAGAGGTAGGAGGAGTTCGACATTTGTCCAAAGAACCTAAAATGGTCCTAATGTTTTCTCTATATTCCAATTCTACCCTTTTGGTCCCAAAACCCACCGTAGCGTATCTCGCCTGATTAGGGATGGCAACAAAACCCGATCCCACGGGTACCCACCCGACCCAACCCGGTCAATGTGGGTAAAATCCGTGTTGACGGGTTTTGGGCCAGGTTTGGGTTTAAACCCGTTCACTATTCACCGGGTTGGGTTGGGTTTGGGTTTAGGTAAACCCGGCCCGTGGGTACCCGCCCACCCATATAATTAATTTTTTCGGTATATTTAATATTCTAAACAACCAATCTTATTTATGTTTGAGGAGACATGTCTAATTTTTTCCTTTTGATTGTGTAGAATGAAGTTGATGTTATGGAGTGGAGAGTAAAGAAACTTAATTGAAAGGAAGAAGTTTTCAATTAAACATGTTATTTATGGATAATTTGTGATTTGCTTCAATTTTCTTGAGTTTTCTAGACTGGTGTTGAACAATTTGTATAGTTAATTTGTGATTTGCTTGAATTTTCTAGAATGGTGTTTTATGTATGGATAATTTGTATTGAGAGATTGATATTTGACTTTAGTTTTGATAAGAACTTGTAATTGTAAATTTTTTACGACAAAACCCGTGGGTACCCATGAACCCGCGGATACCCAACGGGTTGGGTTGGGTTTGAGTTTTTCAAACCCAGTGGGTTTTACCCCGGATTTTTTTCAAAGATAAACCCATGAGTTTGGGTTTGGGTTTGGCAAAACCCGACCCAACCCGAACCATTGCCATCCCTATGCCTGATGATGGTGGCCTCTGCATATCTGTCGAACTGGACATGCCATACCTCTTTATCTTTTAGGGCCTTCTACAGATCTAATCTTCATAAAGTGGATTACGACGAAGGATCTGATAGTGGAAACAAATACTGAGAAACAAGGTTGTCAACCCGCGGGTTGACCCGGACTCGGTCGAGCTAGTGGGTTAAGGGTTAATGGGTCACCCGTTTTAGCCTGTTTCAGTCCGGAAATATGAAAAGAGTCATTATATTGCACTTATCCTGATAAATTATAGGGCTAATTCCACTAGGAAGCCCAAACTATCCAAAAAGTGTCATTTGTGGCCTAAACTATTCAATATGACAAATCTGGCCCAAACCAGATAGAAGCTGACTACATTTTCTATGGTCTACTAACGGTCAACGTCGGTCAACATTAACAAAAAAATAGTTTGGGCCATATTTGTCATATTGAATAGTTTAGGCCACAAATGACACAAAATGCATAGTTTGGGCTTCCTAGTGGAATTAGCCCTAAATTATATCAAATCTCATCTAACATATAAGTAATAACATATAACATCACACCAAAGTAACATGTCGTACTTAGATCTAACATATAGAGAAAATTCACACACACTTATATAACATCAATATTCAAATGTTCAACTAAGGATTCCAAAGATTGAGTTAGGCGAAAAGAAAAATAAAAAAATAGGCGCATTTCGCAAACCAAAGAAAAAAATGACACAATTTGACCTCCAACCCGAGACTTTGTAGCGGTCGACCCGGCGAGTGTGTGCGACCCGTTTTTCTCATCGGGTCAGGATCAAAGTGGGTCGACCCGCGAGTTGACAACCTTGCTGAGAAATAACGATGGATCAGAAATGGAAAACTATACAAAACATGCAACCATAGAAATTAGCCATATGGGATAGAATTGAGATTCAATAGAGGCATAAGATTTTAACAAACGCTTGCTCGCATATGTATTCTTAAGGAAGATGAACCTGTATTGAGGGCCTTTAATTTGAAGCTTATAGATGTTCTTAGTAGTTTGGAAGTTGTGATTCTTTAAATTGATGAATTCTATCAATGTGTGCATTCTAAATTGATGTTTTGTTTGAATGATTGTATTTGTGGAATAGTGGAATAAGGGAACCAAGTCCAAGCTATGAATAAAAAAAAGGGTAACGACGAGAAGAAAATTTTCTTGTTTGGAGGTGTAGATGGTGCTTTTCACATGTGTAAAAAAGTAATATACTTTTTCGGTTTAAGAACATATTTGCCATTCTTTAACTCATTTCTCCAAGAAGAGAGAGCAATTGGATGAGACTAATGTTTGAATAAACAAAAAGTAGAAAAGAGAAAAGTGTAATAAAAGATATACATACAATCATTCATTTACAATCTCAACTTTAATTAGAGATTGTCAATCCTTCATCTTGAGAGATTAGAGGTGGGCTCTTAAAAAGTAAATACGTGTATTGTAACTCAATTTAAAAAAAAAAAAAAGACTAAAATGAAGTGAGCAAGAAGCTCAAAATAAGAAGTCCCATCGTAACTGGAAAGTGAAGCTCAACATATAAAGGTTCCTGCATGTTAAAAAAACTAGAGAGGAAGCTCACCAAAATGCATACGCAGATGGAGACAAGCTAGTGAGATTTTGAACCCGCCAATGGGACTTCCATTTAACACTATGGACTATTTACAGGCTATAATGATATTTAGCTATAGTTGAGATTCTGCAGCATGATTTTGAAGTGAACAATTTCCAGATGCCTTCATCTTTAAAAAAGCCCTTCCGTCGGCAGTTTGGAGGAACAAATTTCACTACATTGGCAGCTTCTGCTCCTTTGCTCCCCCGGAGGCTTATTATCCATGGAAACAACTTCGCTTAAATTGATTATCATCCCCAGGAAATTTATTAAGATCTAGTAAAGTGACATCTTTGAGCTGTTTGTTCCTCTTCCTCCACAAAGAGATACGCTCCTGCCGGTTGAAAGTAAAAAAAATGTATCTGGATTCTAGAAACACAAATTTATATTCATGTGGATTTTCCTGGGGTTTTTTTTTTTGTGGAGTTTTTCTGGTTTTTCAATTTTTACAATAATAATATAATAATGTTTTTATTAACCCGAGTGATGATTTGGGCCTGACTTGTGCAATGAGTTGAAAATTGAGCCCACTTTTTCAACCCAGTATCTATAAAACCTTCTTCCTCATCAACTCTTTTCTTTCATCTTTCTGCCCGTCAATCTTTCGCATTCTCCTCTGTTAGAGGCTTAGAGCAGCTCTCAAATTTGATTTTGCGATCAGGATACTCAATTCCCTCCTAACTCTCCATCGCCGAGCAATTTATTTACGAGAACTTGGCAGTCACTCTCCAGCACCAGAGGACCAAAACCTCTCCGATTCGCTTCGCCAATTTCGTATCACATTCTCTGGTGATTTAGCTCTTCCGCTCTAACATTCATCACCGTCCAGAAGGAAACTTCAGAGGCGCCCCAAGAAGCTATGGCGGCGACCGAATCTCGTTTCCTTACAGAACAACGGAGAGTAAGTTCCCCTTTTGGGGTTTTGTTTGCTTCGAGTTAATTTTGCCTGAAAATTTACAATGTCGTGCTATTTTGATTGTTTTCCAGGAAGAACAAGAACATGGAGATGGCTCCGGTAAAGCAATTACTTCCGCCTCTATACCTACGATGAAGGAAGTAAGAATTTTCTCTCTTTCATCGTTCAGCACTAGCTAGTTTACTTGTTCACAATTTTTACTTATCCGCAAAAGGGAGGAAGGGAACTAGATTAGAATTTCGACTGATTTAGGGTTTGTTTGCTTACTTTTTTACAACGTGCGTTAGGAAGAAGAACTGGATTCGACAGTTGAGTTGCCTGATGAACTTGTTGTCAGCGTTCTGTCTTGCTTGACCCTCAAGGAAGCAGTTAGAACTTCAGTGCTCTCCAGAAAGTGGATTAATTTATGGAAATCCTCCAATTTGGTGCTTGACTTCGATGCTTTGGAGGAGTTAATAGCTATTCATATGTCCCCAGGGAAGAAGCAGCCATTACTGAAAGAAAAGAGGAGGTGGTTAAAGAATTGGGTGAATGGGGTAGTGGGGCAGTTGCAGGAGCATAATATTAATAATGCCTTGACACTTAAAAAGTTCAGAGTTGTATTCAACTTCACCAAACAGTGCAATTCCGAAGGGGACATCGACAGATGGGTGGAGTTTGCGATTTCAAAGAGAGTCGAGTCTCTTGATTTGCACTTCGATACGCAGTTTATGGGGAATGCTGAGTTGTATGATTTCTCAGAGGATGTTTACAATCACATCAAGACCCCAGCTGGATTACTAGATATCAAGCCCCTCAAATCTTTGCGTTTGAATGGTGTCGAAGTCAAGAGGGAGGTTCTTGAACATTTCATCTCCAATTGCCCATTGCTTGAAGAGTTGGCTGTGGGAAGGTCAGAATTCCTGAAAAAGCTCAGAGTTGTGGGTTCGTCTGGATCGCCACTCCGATTGAAGTACTTGGAATTAAGGCACTGCAGGATTCTGGAGTCCTTGGAGATTGATCACACCCCTTTCCTCGAGCGCCTGATTTATGATAAATGTGATACACTGATGGAATGGCGAGTGGGTAAATGCCCAAGTCTTGTGCAAATGATCTTAGGCTTTGCTTTATTTAGGGATGGGTACAATCACGTGGTTAAAGCCCTTTATGGATGCGTAAGTCAGTTAGAGCATCTGTTGGTGAAGACGTTTGCGGTAAGTAGAGGATATATATTCTTCTTATTCTAGAACCCTTGGTTTGACGACTCATCTTAAATGTATAGTTTGTTGATGGATGCCTTGCATATATTTTCTCCTAGGTGGGCAGGCTATTTGAGGATGTGGCTGAACACACACGCCTGGAGCGGCTGACGGTGGAAGCTTGTGGAGGAGGCAATAACAGTCTTCTTGAATTGGTTCCTTTGATAAACGCATGTCCTCGTTTGCACACGTTGCAAGTGTTTGTGAGTTTCTATCACAAAATTGACATTTAATTTGCTCTATATTCTTAGCTAGACTTTGGTTGGGGTGGTTTTGATAGTGATTTGATTTTGCAGATGCATACGTACAATGACGAGCGATGCACTACACTCCCGCAAACTATTGTGAAAATGCAGCGTGAGAGCATCAAAGTGGTGGAGATTGTTGGGTTTAGAGGCTTTTCAATCGAATGCGAGCTTGTTGAGTATGTGATGGAGTATTTCGTGGCATTGGAGAGGATAGTGGTTGATCGCGCAGTGGGAGGTTACCTTCCTTGCGAAGGTGAGATTCTTGGCGGTAGAATACCCAAGCTTTGCACCGAGGAGGAAGCTGCTGAAGCTGAAAAGCTTGCGTTGGGATTCAAATTAAGAGCGCCTCCAACACTTGAATTTGTTGTAATTTGATCAGTTGGTGTGTTTTTTTCTTTTTTATCTTCTTTGGTGTCCACAATGCATAAGAAAGGGTGTTAATCTCCCCATTCGTGCCCTGCATCCATGCTAAGTGTATCCTCCGGATGCTGATGAGAAAGAGTTGAAACTTGAAACTTCTGTGCGGAAATGATCAAGTTAGGACGATTTCACTGGAACTGCTTCTACAGAACTGTGCTTATCTTGTGGATGTGTTGATAGGATCTTGTTTGAGCAGACCTGGTTTCGCATGTCACTCCATCTCCTGCTACGCTCGTCAGTTGGCTGTCCTTATCGTGAAGGCGTGAAGTTCAGACTGGTGAGCAGAAGAAACATAAGAAGAAGAGAGAAAGAAACGCTGCTGCTGCTGCTGTCGATTTGCTTGAATTATTTACTGGTTTGAATGACTATGCTTTCTTGCTTCTGATCTCCCTCTTGTTACATATGGGAGCACATCAGGTTCTCATATGTTGCTGAATTCACCCGCCTTGGTTGCACTTATAAATGCTTGTCCTCTATTGCATACAGTGCGCGTATTTGTAAGTTGATTAATCATTAAGCCAGAAGAATATGGTTATGGTATTGAGAAGTTATATATTAAAGGTATGATTATTAATGATGATAAGTTTGTATCGGAGTTTGTATTAAAACAAATTCAGCAGTAAGGAATTTTGTGCTCAAATTGTGGTTTATGCCGTCTCATATCGCTAAAAATTGCTTATCCGTTTGGGTTTTAATATTCGATGTTTTTCTCAGTTGGGTGAGAGTTTTCTTTTGTTTAACCTAGCTCTTTTGGGTTATCCAATCCTAAGTGTTCATATCCAAAACGTACTTATGTTATATACAAGCATATTTGCGAGAAAATTAGGATATTGTGTAATATTTTATCTCATCGCCTCGCTAACCTAATACATTCTTCAACTAACAAATTTAAACGTACATTTAATATAGGTTGTTTCTCTTTCGGTGTGTATACAATTTTAGAAGAATAACAAATTATGGATGCGTTAATATCATAACGAATAACTCCTTTAACTTATTTGGATAAATGTTTATGGAAAATACTAGACATATGTTGAAGCAAATTATACGTGATTAAGATCCAAACAACAAGTTATGTGCTTTTAACGTTTTTAAGGTTTTTTGCTTTGGTTTATTTGTTTGAAACTCTAATTAGTTTTATAAAAAAAGTAGTGTTGGTTGGATTTTTACTTAAAATTATAGTACCCATTCCAATTTCGGGGAGCTTTGCATGGAAGTCTGCGTCGAAAATTGCAGGAAGCTAAGATAAGGAGAGAGTAGGGGTGGAAATCGGTACGGTATCGGTATCCCAATATCAAATACAGATATCGAATACTAAATTACACCCTAAAATCAATCACAATGTCTAAATAATTTCGGTATCCCAATTTCTAAATATCTTGGTATCCAAATCGGTACACTTCGGTACGCCAATCGGTATTATCGAATATGAAATTAATTACCTTTGTAATTAATAATTAAATATATAAATTATATTTGATTGTTTAATTTAGGGCCAAGAAACTAATCAAAGAGTCTTGAGTTTGCCTAGAGCTAGGATATGGATAAGGAGAATGGAGAAGAGGTGACATCTCAAATTCTTGTCATTGGTAATCGTTAATTTGACGAATTGGAAGCTGAGAGACGACTATTACTAGTGTTATCTGTTTTGTGTTAAGAAAATAACAAGAGATTATGAGAGACGAGAGTAACTTAAACGGAAAAGTCAAAATTGAGTTGGATGGGGGATCTAAGTTGTGAAAGAGTGAGGAATGACCAAAGATTGTGTGCTATATTTCATTAATTTGTAATTTTTGGCTATTTCTTGGTATTTCGGTATTTACAAATACCAATCCCATAATCCCGAATACCAAATTGCGCTCCAAAACGAATCTCAATCCCTAAAAAGTAATTAAGCTGATATTCGATAATATCAAATAGTGATAAATTTGGTACGGTATTCGATATATCTCAAATACCGGTGCCAAATTTCCGAGTACTGGTTGAGGAAGGGGAAATTGCAGTGAATATATAGTTTTATTCTTATTTTTATTCTTATTTTACCCTTTTGTCTCTATTGGAAATTGTTTGTTATAGTAATAGAATAATATTAGTAGTGTTAGTAGGTTAACAATACCAAGATTGATAACATCATAAAGCGCGGACTAGTAAACTAGTATCCATAGTTAAAAGTAAAAGCAAAATGTATAACATACACCCATCAAGGCTTAATTAAGGTTTACGTACGATTCATTAATTAATTACAAGTAGTCTACAACGTGCACATGATATATATTAATTCCTGCAACCATAGCTCGAGCTAGCTAGGCTGGTTTTATTTAGTTCAGTTCAGCCCCACATCAAGGCTTAATTTTTACCATAATATTCACTACAACATAAATAAACATTAAAACGTGGGTAATTAACTTTTTGAAGTACGGTCGTCGTTCCCAACAATTGTAACCACCCCGGCCGTCGGTCTCACCGTTGTAGCCGCTCCGGCCGTCGGGCTTGGCGTTGTAGCCACCAAATAGTACACCAAATAGATAAAAACTCGAACAATATAATTTGATTGTAAATACTAAACAATAGTAGTTGGAACCAATTTGTCCCAATAACTTCAGTTGTTTGAGAGAAGTTTAATTATATATGGATCAGCGCATCTCTCTCAAACGAAAGCCACCTTATATATAGGCTTGAAGTATGCACATTTCTAAATACCATGTGCTTACCATAGCATATATGGTGGGTCATCGGGATTCGAAAAGAAAACCTCTCGGTCACAGAATCAATTGGTCTCGATAACTCACGACTTGTTGGTAGCTAGATTTTTAATTATGGATCATATACAACATACTACACACAGTCATATTGATTCATATGATTGGTTTGAAATCGATCTCAACAACTTTCATTCCTATCTAACAATAAATAAGAAAACTCGAGCGTAAAACGAAAAATCATTTATTGTTTTCGTTGTATTCTGAGTTTTTCCAAAGCTTATCACGAGTACAACTTCAGAAACTAACGGGAGAGTGACTAAATGTGACATGTTTCGGTAATTAGAGTGACCAAAATTAAAATTAATTTTTTCTAGTGACTAAACATGACATGATTCGGTGACCAAATGTGGCATTTACCCATAAGATAAACAAGTAAAGATAGATAGATAAGCAAGGGATTAAGGATAGATAAACTAGATATGATATATAAGGTATCAATTATTTTGGTAGCTTCATCTAAAGGATTATGCATACCATCTCATTAATGACATGCATCATAAATCATATTCTATTAAGAAATTATGATACTCTATCCTTTCTACGAATGCATTCCTAACCGGGCACATGTGAAAGGAACTCCAACTAGTTAATGCGTGTTTTCTCTTCATGCCACTAACTAATCAATAATAACAAGGAAGTAAGGATATCACAATGCTTTTTTTAGTCTTCTATGAACTTATAACATTGGTTTGTGGCATTGGTGATCTATATATCAAGCATGATCCTACACAAGCATGCATAATTGTGTCCAACTAAACATGCATGCAGAAGACAATCACATATCACATAAGAGTAGTTTTCTAGCAACTTATAATAATGATATTATAATCAACACCACAACAGCACGTAATTGAGTGGCATACAATGATTAAGACATCTCATTAAATCATAGAAAGTAGTGCATAAAGCATTGTAGAATTCACCTCAAAGGCTTAGCTATGAATTTTTATAAATATCTTTCTCCAAATGAGAGATTGGACGCCAAACGGCCTAGTGATTTGAAAGTATTCAATTACCGTCACAGAACAAGATTAGAGTGTGAAATATACGAAGGATATTTGATTGGGCCTCAAGTTAATACCCAGTCCAAAAATCAACATGTGCAGGAATATGGGCCTCAGTACTTGAGCCCACCAACGCCAATTACACTATGCGTTCAATTTCAGCTGCCCGTTGGTTGGAAAAGATCCACTGGGTGCTTCTCCCTCCTTATGCGAGCCATGGCTAATCTGGGTTCATTAGTGTCTTTCAACACAGATACGCCTGTTGACTCTGGCAGTACCGCCGTCGGTTAGCAGCCAGCGCCGTGATTTAAATCACAAATTGTGAAGGGAATTTCAGAGGCACCCCAGAAACTATGGCGGAATCAGAATCTGGTGACCCAGAGGAAACTTGATTGTGTTCCAGGTCGAAGGAAAAGGGGATAATAGCCCAGAGGAAACCATGGATACGGCCTCTGATTTTACCGGATCGGAAGTAAGAGTAAGTTTCTTTATTTCATCGTCCAACTCTAGCTAGCTTAGCGGTTCCCAATTTACCTTCCCATGAAAGGGTCGAGAAAAAGTTCAAAACTTTGATTGATTTGGGGGTTTTTCCGCCTGTTTGTTCATTTTATGTGCTTAGGAAGAAGAATTGGATTGGACTGGTAAGTTGCCTAATGAAGTTGCTGTCAAGGTTCTGTCTTGCTTGACCTTCAAAGAAGCAATTAGAACTTCAGTCCTCTCTACTAGGTGGAGAGATTTGTGGAAAACATCCGATTTGGTGCTGGACTTTGACGCCTCAGATGAGTTGTTTGTTATTTACAAGACGTCCAGCCAGGGGATGATGCCTTTAATGGCAGAAAAGAGGTGGTGGTATAAGAATTGGGTGAATGGGGTGGTTAGGCAGCTGCAGGAGCACAATGCCTTAAAACTTAAAAAGTTCAGAGTTGTATTCAACTTGACTAATCAGTGCAACTCCGAGGGGGATATCGATAAATGGGTGAGGTTTGCAGTTTCAAAGAGAGTCGATTCTCTTGATCTAAACTTCGATGTGAGTGGTGTGGGGAATGCTAAGCTTTATGTTTTCTCAGAGGATTGTTACAATCACTTTAAGACGCCAGCTGGAATGTCAGATATCAAGTCCCTCAGATCCTTGCGTTTGAGTTGTGTCGAAGTCCGAGGGGAGATTCTTGAACATTTCATCTCTAATTGTCCCTGGCTTGAAGATTTAGCTGTGCAACAGTCAAATGCACTTAAACAGCTCAGGGTCGTGGGTTCATCATTGTCACCACTCCGATTGAAGTACTTGGAATTAAGGTACTGCTGGTATCTGGAATCTCTGGAGATTGATCATGCCCCTGGCTTAGTGCGCTTGATATATGATGATTGTCATCGCGTGGAGGAATTGCAAGTGGGTAACTGTACAAATCTCGTGGATGTGACTTTAGGTTTTGGTCACTGTCAGTATGATGTCGTGTTTAAAGCCCTCTCTGGATGTGCCAGTCAGTTGGAGTCCCTGTTGCTGAAGACATTTGCTGTAAGCAGAAGCATATATGGAAGAATCTGAATTACTCCTGTTGTATCATCGCTGGAATGACTCAGTTTCACTGTATTGTTTATTGTAGATGGGCAATTTGCTTCCTGATGTGGCTGAACACACACGACTTGCGCAGCTAACAGTAGAAGTTATGGGTGGACGAAATGGCAGTCTTCGTGAATTAGTTCCTTTGATAAACGCATGTCCCCGTCTGCACATACTGCAAGTGTTTGTAAGTTTCTCTCACGAAATTAGTACTTTTATCGTTCTTCTATTCTTGCTGCGTGTTTCCAGAAGCCAGCTCTTCATGGATTTTGGTTGGGGTGGTTCTAATTTTGATTTATCGTGGGGGGGTTTTCGGGCTGTCCAGTTGCATACAGACTCTAGCGATGAAAGCAGACCACGAGTGGTCGATGTTGTGAAAATGCACCGTGAGAGCATCAAAGTCGTGGAGATTGTTGGGTTCAGAGGCTTTGAAATGGACTGCGAGCTTGTTGAGTATGTGATGCAGTATTTTGTGGAATTAGAGAGAATAGTGGTTGATCGATCCGCTGGAACTCCATCCTCTTGTGATAATTCGATTTTTGGCAGTACATTAAGCAAGCTTTGCAGCAAGGAAGAAGCCGATGAAGCCAAAATGCTTGCATTGGGGTTCAAATCAAGAGCGCCTCCAAACATTGATTTTATTGTAATTTGATCAGTTGCCTTTCGAGGAAGGATTGTTCATAACTTCAGTTTTAAGCTACCTCAACAACCGCAGGCCAGCAGGTTTGATTACTGATTACCAGTGAAATGTGCATTTAGTAGAAATGGTTCGAGGTTCATTGCAGTGATTTACCAATACCTGGTCTGTAGGGATTGGGGTGTTTGATTGTATTGATTAGCGTGTACACTTTTTGCGTTGCTAGTTGTTAATGAAGTAGAATACAGATAACATGATTACAGCACTTGAATGTTTTATACACCCTGGAGCCTTCATGCTTCTAGTCGTAGCTAGATAGTCCGATTCAAGTAACCTAACATCACGCTTCAAGGGCATCATTATGTTAGATACCTACTATGCTTCTTATTGCGGGAAGATTATCTAGCAAGGCGTGCACTATCCTAGTTGATAGAATTACTAGTAAGATGAGATCATGGCGGGCTTCCAAGCTTTGAGCTTTCCTATGCTTGACGAGTTGAGCTTATCTCCTCTGTGATATTACCCAATTCTGCAATATATATTTGATGAATGTTTTGTGATTCTTAAGGTCATATAGTACATGTTCAAAAGCTCTGTTATGATTTTCTATGGCTTGGCCATGACATGAGAGCTAATCTCTCGACCAAATTAATTAGAATAGGAAAAATAATAATTATTTATAGGCATCTGTATTTTGGTAGAGATACAAATATACCCCCATCATTTAATATCCTTACAACTTCACACCCACTATTTTTTCTTCTTCTTTTTTCTTAAACTAAAAATGGCTACTCATCAACATCCTTAACAACAAGGTGTTGGCATCGGCGGCTTGACTCTCGCCGGAGGATAATCGTCGACAATGTCTATCTTCATCATTCTTTCTCCAATGGCCTTCCTCCCACCTGTTCCAGAAGGAGCCACCACAAGAAGATTATTACCTCAAAAATGAATTGATCATATGAACAACCATATATGCATCTCATGCTCTTCCCATATATGATCCAGTTGTATATGTTGGTGTAAGAGCTTCAAAATCAAGACTAAAGATTCAATGTGGAAAATCATGGTATCGCGTGGTTCGAATTAAGGGAACATCTCGCTGAATAAATTTGAAATTCGATCTTGTATTTTGATTTTCTCAGTAGAAGCTACTATTTATAAGATTTTGATAACAAAGTTAGCGGGTTCCATTGTCATACACATCCGGTCAAATAAAAGGTTTGATATACTCGCACAACAAAACCCGATATCTATCGAGTGATTATTGGAAGCTTAAGCATCATATAGTCGACTGTTAACAATATTTTGATGTACATGAACTCACCATAAGCCGGCTGCTTGTGGAGAAGGTATCCAGGACTAGGAGGAGTCGCATTGTGAGGGCTCTTGGTGGAAAGGACTTGAGAGGATAGTAATAAGATGATGATGGTGATGATGAACATGGACTTTGAGACATCATTATTGGGATGGTTTCTCTTACAAATAGCCATATCCTAAGCTTTTGCTTATAAAGGTGGGAGAGGAATCAATTATCAGAAGCTCAAGAGATGACTTTTATGGAGATGCAATGATTATGCTGGTATTTATAGGTGATTGATTGGTGGGAGAAAAATGGTAGAGTTTTGTGTTTGTGGCCTTTCGAGTGACACAATATTGAAGAGATGGCTCATGGGACCTAGGTTAATGCGCGTTTTGACGGATCATATTGTTCACGGACTCAATCGCTATAAATATCTATCTAAGAGATGGAGTAATAGAGTCATACAATGTTTCGATACTATGAGCATACACGGATCCCGACCCACCAGCACAGATGCTTAGTTACAATCCCACAATCAAAGGGAGAAATTAAGAAAAATGTCCAAACATAAATGGAAGTGATGGGATATTGACAAGTTAATTAATTGTGATGTGAAAATTGACAAGAGGATTGGAAAAGAAACCTAATTTAGTCAAGTCTAACAATATTCATGGGAATCCAATTTACATAATATACCCCACGAGGCCACGAATAGTATATCATTCAATAATTGGGCACACGAGTGAGTGATGTATATGGCATCTAAATTCTAAGGGCTAGGAAAATGTGGGGCCTCGTACAGAATGAATTATATATACGGTTTATGGTCCAGATCGAGAATTTGGTTTATACAACATGACCATACCAAATATTATATGGTTCAGATCACGTTTGTGTTGTCTAGTCTGGTACGATATGGACTATGCATACCACTTTAAGCAAAAATAAATAGTTTGTTTAGTCTATAACCGGGGAAAAATCTATTGTTTCTTCAAAAGAAATCAAAAAACACATGTATAATACCATAAATCCAAGTAAATAACAAAAACACAAAGTCAGGGTTACCTAACTTCCACCATAACATCATAAGCATTAACATAATCTCTTATGGAGATATGATCTTTTCTACTTTGTGGCAGGGGTATGGTTTATGAATGAAGGAGACGAGATTTGAAAAATTAGATTTGAGACTTGGGGTCTCGTTGAGAAGTTGGGAGAGTGGTCGAGTGAGTTGCTAGACGAATTGAAAATTAGATTGGGTCCATGGTTTGGTATGGTACACATCAATCAGGACCAGACCAGACAAGAGATCAATACGTCCTATAATACAAACCTTAAACCATACCATTCTTAACGATCTACAGTTCAAACCAAAATATACATTCACATTCGGTCCATATTTTTTCAAACGAACTGGTCTATTTTCGGGCCCTAAAATCATAGCGTTGAAATCAATAGAGGTTGCACGTGTGACGAGGAAAGGGAGGACACATCTCTTCCGCCCTCTTATCGGGAAATTATTGGATGGATGGACGTCTAAGAATTGAGAGAGATGGACATTCCATGAATTCGTGGAGTAAAACAAACCATAACTATATATGAGGGGTTCCTTTCAAGATTTTAGTCACACTAATTAACTAGCTATCTAGGATTAGTGATAAAAATTTGCCCTAGTCACTTCATTTTAAGTCACTCATTTAAACGGTGGAGAGTGTTCTAGTTCATTAGAAGAAGGATCTAAGCAGGTTGTCTGTGTTTATTAAGTTAAACTACGTCTTCTGTTAATTATCTGTTTAAGTCCTTTATGTTTGGAATTGTTGCATTCGAGTCATGTGTAGCGGGTTAAGGTTGTTAAGAGCTTTCTGCTCAGTAGAGACTCAAGTTAGCTGTTAAGTAGTCATGGTTGTTGAAACCAAGTCTTGTGGCCAATATCACCTTATTTGTGTTTCTTGTTTCACCATCAATAAACTTTTGTCATATTGCCCTACATTGTGTTCTACATTTGGTATCAGAGTACTCTTTGCAAGCTGTAACCAGTTGTTTGAGAGATCAAAAGAGAAAAAGTGTGCAGTGTAGTTGCAACGAGGTTTTTGAGAAACACAAATAAGGGGTGAGTGAAGCTCCATACGGTTGATAGAGTGCTAATCCGAGTATGAGAAAGAAAGGATGAGTGGAAATAGTGGCTTTGCACAAGTATGCATACCGAGATTTAATGGAGATTATGAGCATTGTAGTTTGTGAAGGAGAATTTGGTGAGATCCAAAGAATACTAGAATGTGGTTATTTGGGCCTTTCGGGAACCAGCTGAAAGTATGGTGTTGTCTGCTGAAGAGTCAGAGACCTTGGATGATCTAAGGTTGAAATACTTGGAAGGCAAATAACTATCTGTAGAATTCTACCGACAAAACTATACATAAGAAAATCACCAAGAAGAAAACAACTTAGGTACTGTGGGATTCAATATAAGTAAAATACCAATAAAGTGGTAAACTTTAGAATGCTCAACTTCAAACACTTACAAGGATCTTTGAGCTTCTAGAAATGAAAGAAGGTGAGATCATAACAATATACTTTGGTCGTGTTATGGTTGTAGCTAACTCGATAAGAAACTGTGGAGAGGATCTTACTTATGTGCACATAGTTGGAAAAAAATTCTGAACACTTAACTTAAAAATTCAACTTTGTGGTTTACTCAACTTTGTGGTTTACTCTATGAACATAAGCTTAATAGGAGGAATGGTGGGGAAAGAAGATCAGACGTTGAGAACTGCTAATGAGTTTGGTGGAAGAGGATGTTAAAAAGTATTTATAATAATTTATCAGTCAAACAATCATAAATAATATAAATATTACTTCTCTAAAATCTTCATACAAGCAAACAAGGGTTTGCCTAGTATTATTACCATTGGTCTTAGAACCTAAAAATCACAAGTACATATATCCTAAGTAGCACCTAACTATAAAAAAAAACAATCCAATCCATTAATTTAATTCATCCGCCAGCATTTAGTGGTATATTTAGAAGCGTAAATAGGTTCTCTCTGCGTCTTTCTCCCTCTCATTGTGATGCTGACGAGCTATCCCTCTGGTTTAGTAGTATAACGATTCCGTATGTGAATCTAACGACGGAAATTCTACAAACATATAATCCAATATTTGTCTATCTGACTGACCTGACACCTACCCTTCAACACATATGGTTGAAAACTGTCAAACGTTGGCTCAATCTATCGAAGAAGAATAGAAATATAAGATGGTGGTGCTGATTGATTGATGGGAAACTCTAAAATTGGACCGACTAGAAATAATAAGCTCCAAAATTGCACGTAGGGTTGGTTAAAACGTTACATCCGAAATTAATGTCCCGATTGCGATCGAGGGCTCCGGCCAGGATATACTGTTCCCTTATATCTATCCCAAACGAGCACTTAAACTAATACCTAAACTTGAACATTTACAAGGGTTATACTAGCTCTGGATCAAGTGGAGGGCTGGGTCGGGACCTGAGGGCGGCCCCCTAAACTTGAACATTTACAAGGGTTATACTAGCTCTGAATTCAATGGAGGGTTGGGCCGTGGCCCGGAGGCTGCCCCTAGATCCGTCGCTATTGATATCCACCTATAGGTAGTGATGGTAATAGGACGAGCGGACCGGGTATCTCAATACTCATGTTTCGCCCTATGCTATTGGGAGTCGGGGCGGGAAGGGTAGATCTACTCTTATATGTTATTTGAAAAAAAAAATACACGCAAATTTTTTACTTTTTACTATAAAACAAATGGGAAAACAATTATGAATGAAAAATAGTGATAATAAAATGGGTAATGGAGTCTAACTAATTGAAAAGTCGACGCCAACTAGTTGAAAAATAGTCAAAATAGAAGAAATATGAATACATACTATAAGAAAGTGATATAATGAGCCAAGAACGGGGCGCGACATACAGGGTTCAAATTATTATCATTTTACAAATGGTTATTGGCATATACGATACATTTTATATCAAAACTATATTTAAAAAATAATAGATTAAATAGGTTACAATTTTTTTTATCTCTTATTTATACATTTTGGAGATAAGAAAGCTAGTGAAGTGAATGCACTAATATCGAATTTGAGCAAGCCGAGAAGTTTGGGACAGCCCACATGGACGGTTCTGAAGCCCAAGGGGAGGCGGCCCAAAACCATACTGAACCTAAGAATAGTCCATTTCCCACTTTCTTACGATCAACGGAATTTTTCTTCAGCTTCAAACAAAGGATAATTTCATCATTCGTACACTATTAACAAGCTAGTTCTCCAGAATGGGATTCCTGCCTTCATCAATTTCAATAACCAGCAGATTCTCAGGAGTCGACCCCATTGGTCCTTCAGCGTAAAGTACTGGTAAGTAAGCCTTGTATGCCGGCAGGTACCTGGAGACGAAATCCTCGACCTGCAAAACACAAGAACACTTCCCCCTCAGTGAAGTTTCCACTTCAGAAACATACAACTTAGGCATGTTGGATAGGAAAAGATGTCCATATCATATTGTAACCTCTTCATCAGTCATCCCAGGTTTTCCTGCTTCCCTCATAGCAATCTCTGCCTGCAAAAAGACATCGTTTCGATGGAATTTCAGTACAGTCAACAAGGATTCTAGATGGTTGCATAATAGACTTGATCTTGTTATTTCCAGCATTGAAAAAGCAACCTGCAGTCGCCATTGATAAACACAACTTGGGTCCTGGATCTTTATGACTGCCCAAGCATCCACAAACTTGTCCCATGCATCGTAGTATGCTTCGAGATTCTTGTTCACTATCTCCAACTGTACTATCAAGAAGAAAGTATTTAGGTATTGGAGGACAGAACAAAAGGACTCATTGCACAAGAACTCAATCCAATAACCTGTGGATCAACAGCTCGAACAGCTTCTACCGGAAGGGGTTTGAACCCAAGCATCCAACCTTCAAATAGAATCACCTAAAGCAACATGCAGATGAGTGAGCTAATGGAAGTTTAACACATTATATTGTAGTAATTGAAGGTGAATAAAGAAGACTTGCTTACTGTTAATGGCCCTTCGACCACTGGCCAAGCAGAAGGATTGCCTCTATCGCCTTTTCCATTGTATGCAGACTAAAAAGAATTTAAGTGGTCAGGGAGAAGTCTGAGCTCATATAAAAGAGAAACAACAAAAGCATAAAATTATCGTACTTTATCATAGCGGGGTAGCTTCATCTTCATACCTGAAAACTTGAGATAAAAAAAGGACAGGATCAAATAAAACAGGCACCACACCACAAGGAAGATGACAAAGGGAAAAAGTCCTACCTTCTTTAGTCATTTTGCAAAGTGAAGTCAGTGTTTCAACTGAGAATGGAAGATCATGGCTCCCAGCGTTTCCACGTAGCTAGAAGAAAGAGGAATTAGAAATCTCAGTTGAAGGATGTATTTGACTGAGAAGTTGGTTACTTGATCAACTGGCCAAATAGTTGAATCAAATGGAGGAGACTCCTATAGGAAAGAGATAGGTTGCTACCTCTAGAAGTGAATTTCCCGGATTTGCTTCTCTCAGCTTACCCTGCAATTGACATGACAGTTTCTCAGTACTCTTATCAAAAGGGTAGTATGAGTTCAGCATCCTATAATCCAATGTGAGTAAAGCATAATAACGAAGCACCTGATCCTCTGCTGTCAAATAGAAATCGTCTATTGATATTGTTGCTGACTTCCTGAAATGGATACAATATCGGTCAACCATCTAATTTCCCAGCTCATGACGATATACATCAGTTCTTGCCAATGGTACCTTCCAGTGACATCAAAGAGATGGGCAAGAGCAGAAACAAGAGTAGTCTTTCCACAACCTTGAGGTGCACTAAAACCAATCTGAACCACAAAATCGAAACCCAGTAACAACTAATTAGCATTGGTTGTAAACAAAAGAGTGGCAATATTATAAGGAAACAGGAGTACCACTAGTGGAGGTATGTCCTCTCCATCTTTGAACTGGGAAGCATGCTTGGAAATCTGATTCTCGCACCATATGAAAACCGGGATGTAGTAATGGTAAAACCTTTTTCTCTGAGGATCGGTGAGGTACATGTCACTCAGCTGGAACAATCGGCACAAGAGCGATCCATACAGTATCCACTTGTCGATTGACTCGGCAATTGTTTCCGCGGTTAAACCTATCTTGCCTAGAAGAGGACCTGAGCATATGTACTCAAAAAGGTTCTCCACGGAAGCAACTTCTGCAGTTCCAGATGGGAAAGCTGAATCCACTGAACCCCTTCTGCAGTTCCTGCTGGAATTAGGATTCTGATGCATGTGAATGGAGTTGTCCTGAATCCATGAACATCCTTGGCCACCTGCATATCGCATCAGAAAGAACGCCTGGTGATGTAAAACCATCCAAAAGTGTCAGCCAAGCACATGGATTCTCTACCCTTTGGAACCATATTCAGCATTTCATCAACTTCAACTAGGTCTACCCCAATTCAGCCATTAACATTGTGTTCTGAACCTGAATCCGTTTCTGGCTAAATCAATCACCTTTCAGACTCGAGGTTCATTTTCTACAATCAAATGGGATTTAGAAACTGGCCTAATCGCTTCTAAAGACCGCCGATTGAAACAGGGCCCAAGTACAACAACACCCTAATTCAGTCCTAGACAGAATAATTATGGCGGGGTAATGTAAAAAAGCCCGCGAAAATTCTTTCTTGGGGCAAAATATCAGAGAATAAGAAGCTAATGGGCAAGAAATTCACCTGGTTTTGGGAGATGGGTCGCCATTCGAGAGGGCTTGAAAGATCGAGCCACTGCCGACTTGAGTTTCATCGATGGAACAGAGGAATGGGAAGAGCAAGGGAAAGGAAGCAATTTGCAATTACTATTGGTAATCTTAATGGAGACCCATTCACCTCCCGAATGTGCACCACAAACATTGTTAATGTTACAATGTTCATGGTTGTTAAGACTGTGCATGGAAGAGAAGCTGCAGAGTGGCGACGGTGATGATGACGCCACATTCAAAGCCGCCATACCCACCTCTTCCCCTTTCTCTCTCTAACTCTGGCGGTAGCTATCTGGTTCCCAGGGTTCTGCTACCTTCTTATCTTTTTCTTTGTCTGTTTGTTTCTGACTGCTGCTGAATTTAGGGCGGGTGGAGTGGAATCAAACAAGATAAGATTTCTTCTTGGTGATGGGAGTTCCATCTGTTAGTCCACAGTTTGTTTCACAGCCAGAGGCCAAGAGCCCTGAAGAGCCAATAGGATTATATACTGGCTGTAAAAATGTCAGTTTAAGTATATGAAAGCTTTTATTTTTTCTGGTCAACCAAGTACCATGTTATAGTTGGAGACTTGGACCACTATTAGTCTATTACCCAATTGGGCGGGCAGGACAAAAGGAGTATCCATGTCTCGCTCCTGCACTTTTGGGTAGGGCTGGACAATCGGTTAGCGGTTAACCGGCCGGTTACAATCAAAACCGAATAGTTATCCACTAATCGATAACCAAGATAATCGAAACTCGGTTGGTGTTTGGAGGCTGTTCGGTCAACCGAAAATCGAGCTAACCAAAGGCTTAAGCCCTCTTTCGCTCGATGGTCGGTAGGGTTGGGAGGTGGTTCGGTTGACTGATAACCGATCCTTCGATTATCGATTATAACCGAACCGACCGGTCCTCCACCCTTACTTTTGTGTATTGTGAATTACCGCTCTAGTATGGGTAATATCTTGAAACCGGTTCAAACTTACTTCTGTATCATTCTGGACTAATTGAAAAATGCTTAGTTTGAGAGCTCCTTTGCCAACCATTGAAATGTGATAAGTGTACGATGTTACGAATTCATCATAATTTAGTCTCTCTTCCGCTCAAAACAAAAAATATATATATATTACGGTAAGAAGGTAGAATTGAGGTACAAAATTGTATATCAAAACCAATATTCTTCTTGTCTAGCAATTACACATCGCAGATCGTTAACCTTCCAGCTAAATAAACTATGTGATATAACAAGTCTCCACATTATTCCAACCAAACCCATTCTCGATTATTTCTTCATAACCAACTTATTACTAGTATTCTAGCATATAAGCTCTCCAATTTCATACCACCCGAAAACCTGAGATTATGTGGTTGGACAAGTGTATTTACTTTCAAAGAGGTTTACGTTGTCAAATTTGTTGTGCTGAAACACAATTATAAAGAATCTATGTAATGGATTAACCTATTCTGACAACAGATAAATGAGGATATGTACTGCAGGCTAAATGTTCCATATCTAATGCCCGACGGCCCACTAGTTACTCGCGCAAAACTAATACATGGGCTTCGAAAATGAGCATTAACAGCCTTAATATTGGCCCAAAATAAAATAGCCTTAATAATTTGGGTCCAGAACTGGTATCCCTATTCTCCTTTCTTTCTTTTTGCAATAATCGTGCATGTCCAACTCCTTTTTAATTAAGTTCTCAAAAACTTGATTGGGAGTATCAAATATTCAAATTGAGAAGATTGATTTGATTTTCATTAAGTTTTGATAAGTGTGACTCCGCTAAAACAAAATTCCCAACCATTCATAAAAGAAAACCATAGAAAATACCGTTATTTCATTATAATTTGACAATGTGTAGGAACCCTTTCGATTATAATTATATTACGAGTATTTAGAAAACTCGATTTGACATTGTTGAGAAGCTAGGTTTTCAGTTAAATTGATCGTATTGGATTAACCATTTCGAGTCGTTGAATTTCAATTATGACTCATTTGTACGATTAATTAATTATTAATTAATTTAATATATAAAAATCTCAAGTGACATTACTGTTTCGTTAGATTTTAGCTAGGTTATACTATTGTCATTTATTTTAGTAACCTATAAGCTAATGAATTTTGGTACCACTATTTACAAACACATTAATTCATTGAGGTACCTTTAACATGGATTTTGGTACCACTATTTCAATTTTGAACTAACCATAAACCATCTTTTGTTCTGATGAACATAAACAAGCATTGAAATATAGATAAATTATCAGTTTTTTTAATTAATTGGTTGACAATGTTAGTGTTGTGTTATATGGTCCACGATTGAACCTCTCCCAACAACTTGAGTTATTGTGAGCAACTGGTTCTTGACATGGTATCAGAGCCTTCTATGACCGAGAGGTATTGTTTTCGATTCCCGGTGACCCTCATTTGTTAAGCACATGGTATTCTTGTCTTCTGACTTGTGGAAACTTCAAGCCCTTATGAGTGGCTTTTGTTTGAGGGGGCATGTTAGTGTTGTGGTATATGATTCATGATTGAACCTCTCCCAACACTCGAGTTATTGGGAGCGACTGGTTCTTCATAGACAATGTGTAGCATTAAAATTTTGACTAGAGAGGTCATTTTGTAGTGATTATATCATCTTCACTAGCTTGCAATACACCATAACTCTTTTGTGATTTTTATTCAACAACCACAATGAATTATAATTGGAGAGTGTTTATCTCTACCCACTTCTTCATCTTCCTTCAAAGAAATAATAAAATACCTAAACTTTCTTGTGGTCTCCCTACTCGATTTGAGAAAGATGATATATTCCAAATCTAATATTTTTTTCTCTGTGTACTCTTGCATCACTCAACTATCTCTGTTTTTCTGTGACGAAAATTGTCTTCAAATCATTGTTTCATGTATTTTTCAAATGAAAATTTTCACATAAGACCGATAATAGATCTTGACCTGAGAGTCATCTTCGGAGTGTCATGGTAGAGCCTTCGCCGTTGGATCTTGACCCTTTGTTTTTGGTCCGTTGTTTCATATACTTTCTCGATACACCTCTCATTTAAGAACAATGATTGGAATCAGGCCATAAGCTCTGTGATGCCATAGCTAGAGCCTTTCTCGATGCTCCTATCTTCCTTTCGGCGAAAGGATATTTTAAGTCGCTATTTTATGCATTTTTATGATGTGCTTCACAACAGTTGTGTGGGAAAAACAAGACGAGAAGATAAGAACGAGTGAAAGGACGATGAGAAAAGGAAATATATGAAACTTAAATTATTGTTTCTATCAACTTCCTACCCATTAAACGATAATGATCCTCCGATTTTCCTAATCACGTGGGACCGCACTAAAATCGCGATTAATTTCTTAGTTACATACATAATACATATAGATACAAACTGGTTTTTTATTCAAATATATATGCACCATTGAACCAAAGGAAACCATAACAAGCTCTAAACTATATCGTTGCATTCAAATCGATTCCCCAAGCAAACCATTGGGAAGTTATAATTATCCAACTGCAACAACCATTGAAAAGACAATATGCAACTGCCTGCAACAACTGCGTGTGAACGCCAAAGCCCACCACGTGATTTTGAGATGGCAGTTTGGCTGTGTATGTGGAGAGAATTCGAAAGCTCAGCCATATAATATATAGCCGACGATTGCAGTTTGAAAGCTGCCCCCAACTAATCACGTTGCTTTCCCTTCTCAAACTGTGTTGCTGCCTATTCATTATCCACAGACATCGTCATCTACACACATCACTTTCTTTCTCAATTTCTCATATACATGTTGGTAAGGTTAATTGCGAAAACTTTGGGGAAGTTTTGGACACTTGCCCTAATTGATTTGTACGGGCTAGCTACCCAGACACTCTTCCTCTCTGTGCCATTGTCTTCTTATATATGGAAAAATGTAATGTAACCATGCTCCAAACAAGAGATGGAAAGAGAGATCATGGAAAGGAATGCAGTAACTGTACCACAACATTACAACCAATATGGAAAAAGGTGTAGGGGTTGTGGAAAAACTCATGATAACAAGTACTACATACTAGGATAATCCTCCGATGAGGGTTTCGGTTAGTCGAATTGTATATGTTATAACGGAATGAGATATCGACGATGCAAAAAACGTAAAGAACGTGCATATTTATATAGTTCACTAATACTATGTGAGCCGATCGGCATATACTAGTTGTACCGCGCGGAATAAACTAGTTGTATATGTTTCCCGCCTTTTTTTATACATATTTTGTTAAATCAGAATAAACCGTGACATATATTAGTTGTACCGTGGTCGGACCATACCACTTGCTAAACTGGCGTAATGGTATATCAAACCGGTTTAACAACCTTACACAATTTGCTTACACGAAAAAAATAATAATAGACAAATAATTATAAACAAGGGGCAATAAGGTTAGTTGTATTTCATACCCCACAAATCTGTTTTGGCAAAACCCATCATGAAATCTATCAAGCAAACAATGATTTGGTCCAAATCCATATCTGACCAATTCCAATATTCCATCATAAATCCATGATTTTATCAAGGTTTAAGAAGGCGCTAAACGTAAGGCGGGCGTTGAAACCTTGCCTAGTGCCTAACTCGCTTAGACGCGTAGCCTAAGTGTGCCAGGTGTTGAAAGAAATCAAATAATAATAATAAATAACGCTTCCTAACTTGAGTTAAAATAATTGATAACTTAATTAGCACTTAACGATAAAAAAATTACTAAAAATTAGTAGAATTGGAGCTCAATAGCTCCGAAAGTTCTTGAGCTATTCAAATTATTGATATGGAAAGTTAATTTCATAATTGATGTTAATTTTTTTCTTTAATATTAACTGCACAGCTCCATCAAATTATGCCTAGAATATACTTAGATGTCGTCTCACTCTGTTGCGCATGTTCCCAAAATTTAACTAAACACGATCGCCTCAGACCAGGCGTTTTGACATTACCTAGTACGCCTAAGGGTAAGATTAAATACGTCTTTTTGAACCATGAATCTTATAAAACCCAAGTTTTAATGAAAATCTTCATCTCTTCAAATGCACCAAGCAAACCATCCTTTATTTATGGTGGATCAATTGAATTCGTTGCTGGCGTGGTGAGGGAATCATATATATCTCTCCACACCACCTTTGAGCATGGTGGAAATTTCAATGACGGTTGTGGTTTTTGTTTGATGTTGGATGAAATACTTAGTCTATATGACGTGACTTGTATTTCGTTATCAATTCCAGCTACAGAGGATTGTTATGACGATCAGCTTTGTATCTGTTAGTACCAATATCACTCAAGGTACGTATATCCATGAGCAGATGGGAGCTAGCCCACATTAATTAAGGTTCCAACGCCCTAGACTCTAGGACAACCGTCAGTCATAATTATCTTTGTTACTGTTTATACTTACTTACTTACTTACTTACTTAGTATGGTTAACAAAATTCTCCAGTTTGACCATATATGATCTGGTGTTATGGCTATTGATTTTCA